GAGGGGAATCTTATATCGCCTCCTATCATTCGCTATAATAATATCCAATTCATTCCAAGTCCTTTATGATCAAGATGCTATCTTATGGAATAAGAATTGTCCAAAATAAGGCGCTATCAAGATATTTGGCATATTAAATGCCAGGGTTGGTTCAGAATTTTTTAAGATTTAAAATATCAAGATAGAATTTTTTGATATTTTAGATTCTGAATATAATGATATTTCGCTTTATCTTCCGATAGATTTCTATGATCTCGTTGAGACCTTGGTTATTTATTTGAAATGCGTATGCAATTTTCTATAGATTGGCAATAGAAGCACGACGTTATGATCCTATAATTATCCGAGACTAAATAGGTGCACGCTTCAAGATACGTATATATATCTCTTATTCCAATCATTATATATCATTATTAAAAATGGGACGATTCCCAATTTGAAAAATATTTGATTCTTTAAGAATTCAATGATAGATTTAATCTCTTCCCTCTATTAATAGATCCCTCCTAATTATAGATAATAAATCCAGGATCCTAAAAATTTCTTATGAATATTATAAAAGGGACTTTATTATTTTTAAGAGGAATCAGATCATGATGAATGAGGGAGAATTTTTAAAATCATTAGGGAGGATATAATAAGGAATTAAAGATCTTCTTATCATCTTGATTTTAATTGATATTATTTGATTTTAGAAGAGATCTTATATATAAGATTTGAACACGATTTCAATTATCATTCGATTTTAATTGATTTGATATAGATTTTCATTGATTTCATTTGATTCTTAAAGGAATTATAAGAAATTTTCAAATAATTTTAATGAGATTTTAATTCGATTTCAATTGATTCTAATGATATTTTAATTCAATTTCGATTCATTTTATCGAGATTTTAATTCGATTTCAATTGATTTTTGAAGGAATCTTGCTTAATTTCAATTGATTCTAACATAATCTTAATTCGTTTTCAATCGAATTTAAAAGGATTTTCAAATCTATTTCAATTATATCTAATGAGATTTTAATTCGATTCCTGCATCTTGACTTATCAGACATGAGATAACGAAGAACGATTTCTTATGAATAATGGATTCGGCATTTTATGCTATCCCATACGAAATAGGGAATACGATTTATTATAAGCATAGGGCTCTATATCTCATATTATCTTATCTGAGATAGGAGGGATGATTTATTACGCGCATTGGATTCTATATCTTATATTATCCCAGACGTGATTCTGGATATCATTTTCAATATCATGAATCTTTTCTAATTTTTTTTCATGAATCTTGATAAAAATTCTCTATCGAGATATATGCAAGGAAATTAGAAAAGGCTTTTAATATTGCCAAAGAAAAGCTTTGAGATATATATTTTGATCCTTTATCGAGATAGATGAAAATAAATTGGAAAATATTTATATTATCCCTCAATAATTGAGAGATATACGCTTTGAATTTTTATCGAATTATATAAGAAGAAATTGGCAAAGAATCTTAGCGTTATCAAATAAAAATTTTGAATTATATATTTTGAATCTTTTTCGGAATATATGAAAGCAAATCGATCATTATAAGATATCCTCAGAAATCACGAGAATTAAGAAGATCTTCGTTGTCATAGATCAAATAGGAAGAGGTCCTATAGCACCATTCCGCAAATCTATCAGAGGAGAGAACGTCTCTATGAAATTCGTCCGCAAAAATCGGAAGGATCTCATTGAAGATATTCGAAATGTCCTTCTATAAGAGAATCTTCGCAAGATCCCCACGATTACGGTCAATCCAATTCCTGGCAGCGTAGATCAAGACTTCAATTCCTCCCAAGATATCATCAATTATTTGATCAGGAAATAATCTAGCTCGAATAAAAGCAATATCAAATCTTAAGATTCATTTAGAAATGAATTTCTTGAAGATATATCCAATCATAATAGATCTAGCGTCCTGAATCAAGGGAATATATTTATCTTTCTTATAAATATTCCAATTCTTATCAGATTGCCTCCTGCAAATCATGATTAGAACGCCGTCGGGGCATTTGCATCAATAAATATTTATAGGAATTGCCATAAAATTAGGAGAATAGGAAATTCAAATGAATGTCCTAGCAGAATCTTGAGAAAATCAATTCTAAGATCATCAGATCCCAATCCGACTCCGACGATATTATCGATCTCAGGGAAGAGAGGGAGAACCGATCATTAGAAGGAAATTTGATAGGAAATTTCTTCCTAATAATATCAATTCCAATCTTCAAATCAATAGATATAAATCTTTTCAAGATTCGCCCTATCTATCTTAAAGAAATCGATCATCTCTCATCAGGATCTCTCCCTTCGCAACGATTCTCCTCATCTTCTTCAATTCTACGCCTCTTCGATCCGATTGCCCTAATCTTAATCTCGTCTCAAAACTTGCGGCGCTCTCTCGGACGCCACCATATCAAGAGAGATTTCGTGAGCATCAAGATCTATCTTCTCCGCTGACCGCGTTTATTTTGACGTAGAATAATTTTAGGAAATATCAAGAGCTCGTATTACGTTTAGCGAGCTCTCTATTTACTAGGGCAATCGGTCCCAAGATTTTGCTTTCCCTCAAAAATAGGAAAAGAATCCCAAATATCTAGTCGAGATATATAATTGATTATTATGAGAAACTTTCTTTATCATCGACCAAAGCTCCACGGAAATTTGATCCTTGATAAAAATAGGAATAATGAAGATTTCAAATAATGACCGGAATTGCACCTCATAGGAAGGGAAAAGAATTTCTATCTTTTCGGAAATTCGTATTCTCGATCAATAAGAGAGATGAATGCCCGAAATATATACTTGAATAATATTTCTATCATAAAGACGATAATGCCTCCACCCCATTCCCTATAGAAATTCATTAGAAGCTCTAGCCTGCATCTCGCCAAGAAGGGGCATATCAAGATGAATCTTCAGACCATCCTTAGAAATCTATGCCGGTCCTTGCCCGCGACTACGAATATAGCCCTGAATCGGGCAAGAAAATTCCCCGAGACCCGCATATAATCAAATCTCATCTCTCGAAATAAGAATCTCCTTAATTTCAATTCCAAATAATTCCACTAATGCCAAATCAAGCTCAGAAATTCTTTATATCATTCATATTTGGAATGAAATAATGAATCTTCATCTATATTTTTATCAATATCTATGATAATATTAGAAATCTTCCTATCCGAGAAAAGATTTCGTCTAAATACGCGGAATAAAAAGAATCTTATATCTATAAATTCATTATCATTATTAATATTATCTATATTCCCTTAATAATACGATGCGGATCCTCATGATCATTTCGTTCGTGAGCGGCCTATTTTTCCGGTTCTCCTTTAAAATGGCTCTTGCAAGTCCCCTAGAGACTCTAAAATCTCAAAGATTTGAGAATCTTTCGGGAAAACTAAATTAGAAGTTCTAAAATCTTCGAGATTTTGGACGCATCAAAAAATCTCAGAAATTTTTGCTCGCGCGGTCCTCGCCTCCAGAACGAATTTCCGCGTGATTCATATCTCTACGATTTTATTTAATGCTGCTCGGGGGGACGTATAGACCCGGGACGGAGATCTAAAATCTATCAGAATCTAGCTTTCCATTTTTATCACGTCCGGTCTTATATCTTAATTATTCATGAAATTTCATATACGACCTATGATAATTCTCAATATATATATTTCTTGAAGCCCTTGCCTTTAGAGCGATCTTCCCCCTATTTTTTTTTCTCATTTTCTATGCAGAAATTCAGCCGAATATTTCGCCTCGAGACGGAAATAATATCAATTTATAGAAATTTATATAATCTCCCGAATTATCGTCCAAATAATCCAAAAGAGAAAAATAAAATAGAAAAAATCGAGATCATTACGAGATCGCGCGATCAAAAAATTTCCGAAATCTCCAACCATTCCTCTATTTTTAATTGTCTACGAGGCGATGTAACGAAATATATAGAATCTATATAATCATAATTTTCAATTACGTGCAATATAATATCTTAATTAATCATCAAATTTTTTCATGAATATTCAATATAATAATTATTCATCGGATTTCCCACTATAAAAATTTTCGCATAGATATATATTAAATATGGAGAAATCTCATCTATAGATATCTTATAATGAAAATATGATTATATATCATCAACTGACGAAAATTTATTATAAAGCTTAACGGAATATTTTCTCTCCCTCTCTTATAATTAATTAGATACCAAAGAAGATTTCGTAAAATAAATATTATATATAAGATCAAAGCTTAAAATGATAATTCGCACGATAATATGAAATATGAATAATTTTTCTTATATCTAATCTCAATAATCTCCCTCATAAAGATTTCGATCGCTCTATTTTGATTCATATTCTGAAGTAGTATATATATAAGAATATCCAAAGCCGTTTTCCGGCAATATATGAAAGAACGACGACCAAAATCGAGACCCTCCAAAGATTCTTTGAAGGCAGCTTAATCCGAAGATATGGCAGAGGCTTTTGGGTTTCGTCAGAAAGAAGCCCCACGCTTCGAAGTACCCCTTGATGGCCATCCGAACCTGGCTTCAGCGCTTGCATCGCGCTTAGGGCTTGTGAGCGTCAACACTGGCTATAGGACATCTCTGCGACACATCTACAAAATTGTTGGAACTCTGTACAGTCGATATGCGACTCCTTGGCACTGTCTGCACTGACACAGGACAGCAATGCAATCTCACAACAAAGCATGATGGCAAGCCGTTGTTTTTGCAAAAGGCTCCGCGACAAAGGGTCCACACAATCGTCGCCACGGCAGGTCTCCTGATTCAGGGCTTGAGGAAGGCGTGAGGCCTTTTATTTGTTGCCAAAAGCTGCCCGTGGCCACTGTACAAACGAAAGAAAATGGGCATGGCCTGGAAACGTAGCGACGTGTTCGGAGCCCTCTGGGCCTCGATATTCCCGCAATGGGTGCCCTCGAGGCGCCTGCCAGCCTACCTACTTGTAAATACGACGAATGGGCCCGGATTGCCTGTCAAATGTGGGCGTGAAGGCCGGCGGAGGCCGGCCGAAGCAGTAGCCAAGCTGTTCATACAAGGCTACCTCAGTCAAATTCACATGTCGTTGCACAATGGCCTCGTCGGTGTTCATGTACTTGACGACACCGGCGTCGATGTTTGTCACCGTCA